AGTTTTTGTATCTTCTGGAAGAGATAACTCTGGATAGATCTCAGTTACATACCATTTAAATGATTTACATTGTAGTTTTTCTCGAAGTAATTTACGTGATGTAATATCACCGTAATTACCCTAAACAAATAATAAATTATTAGCACTTCATATATACATATATATCGAATAAATTTAAAAACCATACCAAATTATTATTTATTCTTTGATAATAATATTTCTAAATGGAAATAAAATAATAGTATTCTTCTAAAAATTAACTTATGTTGTTTTAGTTTATTCAATACTTTGTATTCATCAAGCCAAACTTCAGCAAGTCGAACAGAATTTTTGCGAACAACATTTACCTCATCTGACCATTTATATGGAGATCGTTTTCGAAATATATGACCAACATGAGAACAAGGAGAAATCACCAGAGTGCCTACATATAACAATTAATTAAAATAAATAAGTATAGTTATACTTACCACCACACATCCATATGCGAAAAGATAGTTCTAAATTTTCACCACCCCAAATATCCATTCCAGCATCATCTGTAATTAAAATAGCTCACAGTTAGTTTTTTTTTTGTATTGAAGAATACAGAAATAGATTTCTGGTTCTCGATGGGATCATTTTTTGGACTAAAAAAACTTAACCATAATAAATAATCAAACTCGAAAACTAAAAGACAAGAATTGATTTAGCTGATAATGATGAGTTGATCACGCTCACGATAATAAGGAGATGTCATTTTGACTGAAAGCTAACATTTTTTAAAAGTTTAGAAATATTCATGTGCTCAGTTACAAAAAAAAATGAAACAGAAGAATCACGTTCAGCGACCAATTTTCGAACAGTTCGATTGACATGTATTAGAATGTGCCCTCGTAAGGGTGGCTAGATAAATATAGTTTTGTTTCAGTATGAAAAGAAATTTGCTACGAAAAATCCATTAACAAGTGATGGCAACAAATGGGTTATGTACATATAATACAACGGTAACCATAGGTTTTGTATAAACTTTTGATTTCAGAGCGAGATACGTATAGATTTGTATAGAAACTCTTCTTGTACAATCATAGACATATTTCGTCATCAAGTCAAAATCTTATAGCTGCCTTTAGTTGGTTTAAATTTTTCATACAGTTTGTTAAAAGTATCTTCTATCTAATGTAGTTATTTCGATGCTTAAACGCATAGTGTTCTCATTCAAACGCCAAAGATTAAAAAATCCGTTTATTTACAAGAAATTTTCAGAAACTCTCATTTACTTACAAAATATTTTTCAATTCATGATATTTCATGCATGAATATGTCAACTATTTGAAATATCTATAATTTTTGAACATAATTATAAGACAATAACATATGCAGGAACATACAATCTTCTAACTATTTGAGGGAAGAAGATGTGAGACCCTACATGACTCTTATCCTTGTCAATAGTTGCATGCAAAATTCTCACATTTTTATGCAAGATACATCATTCACATGTAAATATCGAAGTGTGATTGACATGTACCTACAAGACGGCTAGAGTTTCATTTAATTCTGCATGTCAATGTAAAAGATTTGTATTTACGAAAACTATTAACAAACTCATTCTGTACTGGCATGATTAGTATTGATGTTGATAGATGTCTAACAATTATTAAATAATCATTATATCTTTCAGTTATGATTGCACTTCTACTGCAAAGACATGGTCAAATCGTGAAAAAGTTCGTCTTATTGAGTAAAGTATATGTATTTTAATTTTATCTCTAAAAAAAAACTTCCTGAGTACTCATATATCTGTGCTACATGCGGTTCATTTTTAACTATTCAAAAAATTGTCTTGCACGTATTGTATACAGTCAGAAAATTAAGCATGCACTTATGTAAAATTGCATGCATGTAAAAAGGAATATAGTTGTATTATGCAACGCTTTGTCATACACGTCATACTATTAGGATACCTTTATGTACATGTATTTCATAAGCTTTTGCGTTTGACTATGTTATGCGTTAGAGCTTATATATATCTAACAGTTAGATTATTACATAAAAATGAACATATCCAAGTCACACCCTTTTGAAAGCTGTAAACCCATTGGTTTTAATGATCTCAATATTTTTTAGAAATCGGAACCGCTAACAAT